ATGATTAAAATTACAGTCTTTGGTAATTTTCCAATGGGGTGACGCAGGCACCGGCCGGTGTCTTCTTCCCTTAAACCCCATCTTTTTAAAAATGATGCTGAACAGAAGCTGCAGGTACGCCTGCGATTCTCTGTGCCAATTCCGTGCAGTTTTAGCCCGTGTTCTCAACTGTTGTGTGAAAAGCCTCCCAGAAGCTGGGGAAAGTTTTTGGTCTTTGCAGGGAAAAACTATTTGCAAACATAAACTGAAGGAAAACAGGCAAACATCTCATTCTGCCTTCACACCCTCCTCCCAGTTATTCAGGGGTATTGGTTTTAAGTGCTATTTGCAGGAAAGGTGACTTGTTTAAAAATGAATAAACAAATACGTTAAAATCACATTTTTGCTTCAAGGTGATGATGTGCCTTTAAGCATTTTGATTGAAACGAGTTCTTTTGGGTAATGCTGAAACTTTCCTTCTGCTGCATGTCAGCGATTTTTATCCCTGGGATTTGAAATTTGGCACTAAGGTATATTCTTTATCGGTGCTTTCTGTGATAACAAGTCCCAGTGCTGCAACACTGGTATGGCACAGATGTGCGGCTTCCTCTTTAGCATGGAACAGCTGACGTTTGTATGATATTAGCGTGTGTGTTTTAATTTTCTGCTCGGCGGTGTATATGGATGGGACTTGAGCAGGGTATGTTTAAAATAGGGTATTCTCTCCTTGCGAAAAGAAAAAGGGCAAGGGGCAAAAGAGAAGACCTTGAGAAAAATCACTTGCGCTGGAAGAGGCTGCTCTGGGGTGTGCTCCATGTGTTCTTGCTGTCAAAACCCTTTATACTTGTTTTCAAATCGTCCTTGCTTTCTAGAGTACTCTCTGTGCATGGGTATGGAGGAGGATAAATACGGTATCATGTGGGACTTCTCTAGGGGAATCAAAGTATGGAGGTGATATAATCTTGCGCTGAGAAGTGCAGGATGTTTTCAAATAGTAAGCTTCTGTTTCTTAATAGGAAAATTCCCGTTAACGATGGCGATGCACCGAAAAGCAGACTGGAGTTGAGGGAAGAAAATCACCTGAATCACAGTGTGGTAAGAAGTTTATACCTTCATGCTGCAGCTAAATCCATGCCTGTCCTCCCCACCCTGTCTCCCACCCCCGAGTGTTATTACGTGATCTGTTTGGAGAAATGATTAAACTGCCTTTCTGTTGCACCTCTAGCTGGGCTTGGGCACATACGAGTTGTTTCTGTGAAATACTGAAATGGGACTTTGTTTATTTATCTCATTAATCTCTTGACACTGACTTTGTGGTGGTGTGTTGTCGTATGACATCATATTCTTACTTTCGCTCTGTTATGAATAATGTCATGCAGCCTACCCACGTGTTTAACAGGAATAGTTCATGTAAGTGTTAAGTACATCAACGTTTCATCAGAGTTGGTGGATTTTTCCTTCTTTGAGCATCCGCAGGGAGCAGCGAGTGGGGAAGAAATTCGACAGTGGACTTTTCTTTCTGCTGCATCCTTGGCCGCCCCGTGAATCGTGTGGCGGTGGGGAGCTCCGGAGCAGAGCTGCGGCAGAGTTAGAGGTCCTGGAGGAGGAGGAGGAGGAGAGGCTCTCCATCCTTCCATTCCCACTCTCCGTGCCACCAGCACACATACTCTGGCTCTGGCGGGGCTGGGGCTGAGGAGCCGGTTGCCGCATGGAAGCGATGCCAATGAGCATCGTTTCTGGGCCAATTCTGGCTGCTTGGGCTAAGGGTCCTCACGCCTTTGTTTCTAGCTGATGGATTTTGGGTGCGAAGAGATTTGTATCGCTGTTTGTGGTGATATCCATTGCTCCGTAGGTTCGTGTTCTCCAGTGCCATCAGCCTCTGTATGTTTTCATGACAAACAAAGTGTTTGCATCGGTATTGTTTCTTTTCCAAATGCTGACATGTCTGTAGCTTGAGCGGTAGTCGTTGTAACAAAATGTGAAAGTAACATACTTCTTGTTCTGTAAAGGTGGATGCGACTACAGCACATCGCATTGACAGTCTCGCAGCTCTGAGTATGGACAGGTCTGGACTCATGCGAGAAGGACTCAGAGTCCCCAGTAGTATTGTCTATTCCAGCTTGTGCGGACTCGGCTCAGAAAAATCACGGGATGCTACGAGTTCGATAGCTGGGCTCGGATTTACTCCTGAAAGAAATCCAGAGATACAGTTTAAGTCTAATCCCCCCGAAGCAGTAGAAAACGCAGCTGTCTCTGGAAAAGCCCCGAATGGCTTCAGCGCTATATACAAAACGCCACCTGGAATACAAAAAAACTCTGTCCCGACGGGAGAGACGCTGGGTTTGGACCGAGCTGCGGGTGACAAGCAGAGTCCCCTCGGTGTCAATGGTGCTAGTTACCTAAGGCTCCCCTGGGTAAACCCCTATATGGAGGGCGCGACGCCCACCATATACCCTTTCCTTGACTCACCAAATAAGTATTCGTTGAACATGTACAAGGCATTGCTACCTCAGCAGTCCACTTACAGCTTACCGCAGCACCTGGCTTACTCGCCCGTATGTACGAACGGTGAACGCTTTTTATACCTGCCTCCCTCCCACTACGTCGCCCCCCACATCCCTTCGTCGCTGGCGTCGCCCATGAGGCTCTCGACTGCTTCGGCTTCACCGGCCATCCCGCCTTTGGTGCACTGTCCGGATAAAAGCTTGTCATGGAAGATGGGTGTCAGCCCCGGCAACCCCGTTGACGCGCACGCCTACCCCCACATTCAGAGCAGCAAGCAGCCCCGGGTCCCCGCTGCCAAGCCGGCCCCCGCCAACATGCCGGCGGACCCTGCGCTCCTGCTGCCCCACTCGCCCCGGCCGTCCCCTCGCCTCCCCCTGCCCGCCCAGGTCGGGGACGCCTATGCCGATTTCCACAAACACTTCCCCAGGATCACCACCTCTCCTTCCTCCGCCGTCACCCTCCCGAAGCCCTACGTCAATGTCGGTGGCGAATTTCCACCCTCTCGCCTCTCCAACGGGAAGCTCCCTAAGGGCAGCGACGCTGGGGATGCGCCCCCGCCGGCCGCCCCCCACGCGCGGAAAGCTGGCCACGACCGGAAAGACGGCAGGCCCCCCCCGCTCCTGGAAAAGCAGACCCCCACCAAAGATGTCACCGACAAACCGCTGGACTTGTCGGCAAAAGTCGTCGACGCAGAAACCGCCGGCAAGTCGGACCACGGAAAG